AGACTTGTGGACTTCAACTCCCAGAATTCCTCAGCCAGCTTGGCTGGCTGAGGAATTCTGGGAGTTGAAGTCCACAAGTCTTAAAGTTGCCACGGTTGAGAACCCCTGGTATAGGCAACCTTGGCTCTTTTATGACTCGTGGACTTCAACTCCCAGAATTCCTGAGCCAGCCATGCTGAGGGGAAAGGTGCTGGCTCAGGAATTCTGGGAGTTGAAGTCCACGAGTCATAAAGCAGCCTAGGCCAGAGGTAGGCAACTTTGGCTCTTTTTTGACTCGTGGACTTCAACTCCCAGAATTCCTGAGCCAGCCATGCTGAGGGGAAAGGGAGAGGTTTCCAAGCTGAGCCATGCTGGCCCGGGAATTCTGGGAGTTGAAGTCCAGGAGTCACAAAAGAGCCAAGGTTGCTTATCCCTGGTATAGGCTACAGAGGGAAGCTTAGGAAGCAGATATATCTGGCTTTTGTGTATCCCATCTAACAAAATGAAATTCAATGGTGAAAAAAGTAAGGTTCTACATTTAGGCAAGAAAAACCAAATGTACAGGTATAGTATAGGGGGGGTACCTTGCTCAATAGTAGTAACTGTGAGAGGGATCTCAGAGTCCTAGTGGACAATCACTTAAATATGAGCCAGCCGTGTGCTGCAGCTGCCAAAAAGGCCAACACAGTGCTGGGCTGCATTAACAGAGGGATAGAATCAAGATCACGTGAAGTGTTAATATCACTTTACAATGCCTTGGTAAGGCCACACTTGGAATACCGCATCCAGTTTTGGTCACCACGATGTAAAAAAGAAGTTGAGACTCTAGAAAGAGTACAGAGAAAGATGATTAGGGGACTGGAAGCTAAAGCAAAGATGATTAGGGGACGAGGCTAAAGCATATAAGGAACGGTTGCTGGAATTGGGTATGTCTAGTTTAACGAAGAGAAGGACGAGGGGGGACATGATAGCAGTGTTCCAGTATCTCAGGGGCTGCCCCAAAGAAGAGGGAGTCAAGCTATTTTCCAAAGCGCCTGAAGGCAGGACAAGAAGCAACGGATGGAAACTGATCAAGGAGAGAAGCAACCTAGAACTAAGGAGAAACTTCCTGACAATTAGAACAATTAACCAGTGGAACAACCTGCCTCCAGAAGCGGTGAATGCTCCAACACTGGAAGCTTTTAAGAAGAGACTGGACAGCCATTTGTCTGAAATGGTATAGGGTTTCCTGCCTGAGCAGGGTGTTGGACTAGATGACCTCCAAGGTTCCTTCCAACTTTATTATTATTATTATTATTATTATTGTTATTGTTATTGTTATTATATGTACTGACATCCTACATGTATGTATGTACCAGTTCACACAGCTTCTACCCATTCTGCTAAAATCTGATAGATTAACATCTGTCTTGCGCCAGGCATTACATCCAGGGATCTGGCTCACCTGGATCAGATGTCTTCCCATTGACCAGTGACTGTTTCCTTCATCTTCCTTCCCATTCTAGGTACTATTTAAGAATTTTCAATTCCAATGGAAGTTAATAGCCTCTTGGAACAATATAACAGCAAACAGTGCTGCGATCGCCACCTGCTATATGTTCTTCCTTGTTTTGTGTGTTTCTTTTGCAATAGATTTGTAGAAGCTGTAAAATACTCCCGGATAATGGGAATTTCTTTCTTTTCCAGAGGCAAGCTGTGTTACAGAGATGGCATTGATGATGGCTTGTTGGAAGGTGAATGAATTCAGTGACAGTGCTTGTGCTAAGGAGATTAATACATTCTTTCAATGTGCAGCAAAAGCAGAAGTAATTGCATTTTATTTTTTTTCCCAATCTTCTATAAAGAAACTGTTTTCCATTGTGTAATGCCTTAGAATCGCCAATTGTTTTAATTGCATAGTATTTTATTTAAAATTTATTTAATATGCTTTCATCTAAAAACGAGCAGCAATGATAATTTAGCAAATATAAGCAGAGACAATTGATGTTTCAAGGCGCATGAAATCCTAAATGAATTGCTCTTGAAATAATTTAAAATATTTGTCAGCTGGGGGAAGTAGCCAGTGATGATGATGCTGAATCCCATTATACTGCCATTCACATTATTAAAATGAGAAGACTAGGTAACTTCACTACCAATATTGTCATTTCTTCATTGAGAGAAGAGTCTGCTTTAACTCTTTGTTAACCTCACCCTATGAACCATTTAAAAAAAAAAGAACTGTGTAAACTATTGAGTTCAGAACAACCCTGGGAGGTATACAGTATTTTAGAAATATTTCTATGTTGGTTCAGCTTGGAAATGACTTAATTGGAAATGCTTATTTTGACCTCTGAACAGGGCCATGATGAGACCCCATTGCTTCAGATGATGTTGTAACATCCCAATTTAAGCATGAAACTTAAAAAAAAAACTTCTAAATTGCATTATTTTTTGAACCTCTATTGATTTCTGCCATCGTTTTTTAGGATCAAAACGTTAAAATTTATGCTCCTTGACATGGGAGAAGAATAGCACAGAGGCAAAATGCTCAGTACTCAAACAACTAACTTTATTGCTAACAAAGCAGAATAAAAATGGGGGAAGCATATGCCTAATTGCTT